GGGCCTGGTACCGGCGCTCTCTAGGGATGTTCAGGCCTCGGGAGGGGGCTGGAGGAGGCGGCGGGCGGTGGCTCCGGGGCTGGAATCCGAGCTGGGGGCGGGGGCTGGACCCATCCCGCCTACTCTAGCGCCCCCCTCCCTCCCCAAACACGCGTTTCCCTTTCTCCCGCGCCGCTGCAGAGCCCAGGCCGGGCGCAGGGGAGGCGGGGGGCATCCCGGAGGGGATCCCGCCCCCTCCCCCGGCCGCCTGGTGCCCCTGCACCCACGTGAGTTCAGGGCCAGCCGGGATTCCACCAGCACACAGCGCGTGAGGGTTTCGCGCAGGTGCCTCTGCCGTCCGGTTCCCTCGTCAGCGCACAGCGGTCCCTGGCGGGTCTCCGCTGCCCGGGCCGGGCCCTTCGCCGGGCTCCGGCTTCTGCATCCGGGCGTAGCCAGCAGGCCGAGGCGCGGGCAGGCGGCCCCAGCCGCTCCGAGCGTGGGTGAGTGGAGAGCCCCTGCGTGCTGGGGCGCCGAGGTCCTGGGCAGGTGGGATACGAGGCCGGCTTGGTCCACCGTAGGGTCAAGTGATGGGGCGCCCTCTGAGTCCACGTTTCCACCTTTCCGGCGCCCTTTGTCTTAGCTACTCCCTGCCCCACCGCTCAACTCCCGGGTAGCACAGGTGAGTTTCTTACCACAGTAGTTGGCCTGGGGTCTCCCTACCCATCTCCTCTCTCCATCCGGTCCCTGTCCTTGCCCTAACTCCTGGCAGTTTGCCATCTCTGTGACTGCCGTCTCCTTCCTTCCCAGGACTCAGTTCTCTTTTCTATCAGGGGTTTAGTGCTTCAATGCTGACAGAACTGGTCTTGATGGAGACTTTGGCTCTCCTGAAGGTGACCTGAGGTCCGAAGTTGTGTATGTGCTTGTCGTGCTATGTGCTACTGAATTTATAGGCAGGGCTGCCTTCCCTAAGAGTTGGGTGGGATTGCATGTTTAAATGTGGCAATGGATTAGAAAGCCTGGAGTTTTGTGTGTCTGCCAAGGTGTATGTGCAGGTGGAGGATTTATGACAGTCACTGTATGGAGTCATGTATTACAGGCAGAAGTGCGGGGAATGGAAGGCGTGTGTGTAGCTGTGTGTTTGTGGGTGTTCATGAATGTGGTGTGCTTATCTGTGTGTGTAGGGATTATGTGCCTGATGCTGAGTGAGCAGAGTTGCATTTCTAAAAGTGTGTGCATTTCTGAACTGTCCTTGTGTTTGAATGTGTGTCTATGGTTATGTATATGTCAGTTGTGCACAAGATATATGAGGATGTGTGTTCATGAGTGTGTGATGTGATGTGATTTTCTTTCTTAATAGTACTCCTCTGGCAAGCAGAGTGTTGAGATGAAATGTATGGAAAGGTTTGTTTTGCCCACTGTGGCTTCAGCTTTAGAAGGGAGGAGGTCCTTCCTTCCTTTCTTCTGGCTTGAGGGGGCAGCCAGCACCTGTCATCTAAGTCTGGAGGTTGGGGAACCAGGTGGGCAGTATGTCCTTGAACCCCTGAAGAGAATGGAGACCCTAGAAGGACCATTTCCCCAGCAGGAAACTTCAGAAGGTGGGCCAAGAAAGGCCCAGAACCAGGAGACACCCGGAAAGAGAGAATACGGGGTGAGGGGAGAAGCCCATAGGGGTCCATGAGTGGCTGAGACAGGACTAAGTAGAAGCCAAACTCCTGGGAAACCAGTTCAAATACTGTGTGGCAAGTAAGGCAGACAGGACTGAGAAACCAACAGGAAGATAGCCTTCCAATTCAGCATTTTCCTCTGTCCTCAATTGTGTCTTTTGGGTCTGAGCTTTTATTAACTGTGGTAGTTATTTATTTCATGCTCACCAGGTGCTGTTCTAAGCCTCACATGAATTGGGTCATCTAAGCCATACATAGTGACCATTCCTACAAGGTAGAGGGGGGTTTAAATAAAGAGCTTAGGTATTCTTTTCTATATTTTTTCAGTAGATAGCCAGAGAGATTATAAAGGCTACAAAAATTGCAGTCTTTTAAAAAATTATTTATTTATTTTTACATCATTCTTCATTTTGTGCATTTTTCCATCTCGGTAATCCCTGTGAACTTCCCACCACCAGTTCACCTATGTGTCATTACCATAATCCTGTGCACCTTTCACATCCCATTTTTGATCCCATTCCCCACTCCACTCTTGTAAAATGTCTCTGGTATATAGTTGCTCATTGTTAGAAATTACAGTCTTTACAGTCTTTGACTCAATAACTCAACTTAGCTGCCATCGCAGGAAAGCAGACTGTAGGTGATACCCAATGGATAGGAGTGGTTGTGTACCAGTAGAACTTTATTTACCAAGATAGACAGTGGACTGGATTTGGCTTTGGGCTATAGTTTGTCCACTCTATAGTACTTGTGAGGGAGAGAAAGAAAAGAGAAAATGTCACGCTGTAGGTTTTGTAACTAGCTTTGTCTCAGCTGAACACCGCCTTGGGAATGAAGTTACTTCATGCTACTGTGATTAGGGGCATACATCCTGGAGGCGAGGGAGTAATTGTGCATTTCCTATGTAGTCTGTGGTCCTGCATCTGGATTTCTCATGTCGAGAGGTAAGAAGAAGCACTGTGGTTTCAAGAAATGGACCCATTGGAGCAAGACCCCAACTGGGGTTTGGCTTTGGGAACCAGGACTTGGACCTCAAAGAAGGAGGGTGAAAGCTGAGGTAGATGTCCCATCCCTTGGAGATGGGGTGGTGGGGAGGAGGAGGGCAAGGAAGACAGCTCAGAAAAGCAGCTGATCAGCCTTTGACAGAAGTAAAAATTACAGGTACTTATCACTTGTTGGAACTGAAACCTTCCATAGTCTTCCAGTTTTCACCAGTGTAAATTCAGGTGCTGGGGGCGGGGGTGATATGGGTGGAGGAAGCAAGGGGAGAAATCAGAAGCCAGGATCCCTCAGAGAATATCTAGGGGAAGACCAGATTCTTACAGGTGAGCAATTCCAGGTAAATAAAATATACAGAGTCCAGTACAAGTGACAGTATTTCCTGTTTTCCTTTGGTCTGGAGTTTTTTTCTAAGAGTGAATGCACTCAAAGGGGGAATTGAAGAGAAATTATATTAAGGGCTATTTTCAAAGATATGAGGAGGTTAACGGGAGCTGGTGTAGCTCCTGTTAGGGACCAGTAAGAATTAGAGGGCAGAGGAAAGGAGCTCATGTAGCTATAACAGATGACTTTTACAAAAAATCAAATATTATTATTAATATAAAAGACAGTTTCAGTTTAAGGGGTATACTACGTTGTTTTGGCATATTTATGTATGACATTATGTTTACCATTGTAAACAGAGAGTTCCTTTCTAAAGCTCCAAGAATACCTAATAGGGATAGTTTTGTTGTCAACCTGTGGTGTTGGGAAAACCGGATACACCCAGGAATATGAAATTTCAGCCCTGTCTTAATCCATTCACAGAAAAGTTCCCCTATGAGTTGATCATAGACCTGCTGCATAGCAGGAGATGTGGGGGAGAAGCTGCGGAACTCTGGCAGTGTTTAGATGACACCAAAAGCACAAGAAACAAAAGCAAAAACCAACAAGCCAAACCACATCACATCGAAAGGTTTCTGTATAACAAAAGAAACATTCAACAAGTGAAAAGGTCACTTATAGAATGGGAGAAATATTTGGCAAACCACATTGTCATATAAGGGAATACTATTCAAAATATATAAAGAATGAATATACATCAATTACAGAAAATCAAACAATCTAATTTAAAAACAAGTAGAGGAGCCAAATAGATGTATTTTTTCAAAGCTCTCCAGATGCATTCAGTGGCATCTATTTAGCATATTCACACTGTGGTGCAGGCATCACCTCTATCTAGTTTCAAACAATATCATTGTAATTGTAAAATATAGTTCTATTATTTTATTATTTTTCAAAAGATTTATTTATTTATCCATACAAAACTGGGGTACAGGCTAGAGGTGCAGGGGGTGAGAGGCTTCACCAGAGACAGTGGGGAGCAGAACAGGCAAATCAACGAAGTACACTGCTGAGGGGAGCAGCAGGCGGGCCAGGAGAGGTCTGCCTCACCATGTGGGTCACCTCCAGGGCAGACGGGGACCGAACTCATGCTGAAGTGCCTTTAGCTTCAGTGCTGTGCTTTAACCTGCTGCGCCACCAGGGAGGGCCAGTTGTATTATTTTTTAATGCATGAAGGAGTCCACAAAGGTAAAAGTTCCTCAGGTCCATGAAAGTCACATTTCCAAGCTGTGTTCTTCACATATAATGTGCTTAGTTAAAAAAGATAGCAGGTTTTTTTTTTTATTTTTATAATGCAGTTACTTGATGTGTATTAAAATAGAATTAGTATTTCAAGTAATCACCCAAAGCTTCCATTCTAGATACATTTAAGTAATTAAGCAAGGCCATAGGGATATGGCTGAATGTAAAGAAGAGACACAAAATATGAGATTTGGGAAACAGTCCCAGCACCCCAGAAAGAATTCTGAACATTACATTTCCCTTCCAAGACTGATGCTCAAGATACCAGGGCACTCAGGCAAAGCAGCTACATTCATTTGGCACCCACTGGTTTTGAGGCACCTGCATTTAGTCACTAGTTAGCTCCACCAAGCCAGACATCAAGCTATTACAGTGAGTAGGGCTGTGCATGCAGCTGTCACTCAGCAAAGTCTTGTTTGGTTTGTGAACAGGGACAGCCGCCAATAGCTTGTGACCGTAAGGCTGGAATCAGGGAATGGCAAAACTGTCCATCTCATTTTGCTGTCCTTCCCCGTTTCTTGCCAGCCATGTACAGAAATGATGGTGATCTTGATCCCTTTTATGGCCAGGACTTGACCCTGGAATCCCAAGCAGAGTGCTCAGGCGCCTGTCAGACTTACACCTCCTCTTTTCACTGTGCGGGTGCTTCCTAAGGTCCTCCACGCGTGCCCTTCTCCCACATCATCCTTTGCCCTACCCCTCACCAGGACCTCTCTGTCCCCTGCTGATAGAAGATGAGCAGCCACGGCAATAGCCTGTTTCTGAGGGAGAGCGGCCAGCGGCTGGGCCGGGTGGGCTGGTTGCAGCGGCTGCAGGAGAACTTGCAGCAGAGAGCGTTGCGCACACGCTTGCGCCTGCAGACCATGACACGCGAGCACGTGCAACGCTTCCTGCGCAGGAATGCCTTCATCCTGCTGACTGTCAGCGCTGTGATCATCGGTGAGTGGGCTGGAGGGGCGGAGACTTAAGGGAAATTCCCTGCATGCTCATTTCTTTACTCCGCCCACTAGTTTTCATCCGCAGGCGCACACATCCCACCCACCCTTTCCTTCCCCTGCCGTGTAAGGTCATCTTCACACAGTGGGTTCAGTCATGCCAACACAGTGTGTGTAGCCACGGTGAAACACGAATATGCACGTGTGCACACACGACACAAGAACATGCTTTCTGCATGCGAGCACACAAACAAACATGTTTTATGCATGCAGAAAACAGGCACAAATATGTAAACACATAACACACGTTAAACACAGGCACAAATATGTAAACACATAACACACATTAAACACATTCATACATGTAATGTATTCTCTGCACAGGCAGTAGCATATTTATGTGATAAAATGCACATATACTCTCATGTTTGGAAATAGTCACAAATACATATGGGTCACATCTAGATACACACATAGGAAAAACATGTGACTCTTGTGTGTCAGACCACACATATAGTCACAGATACAGCTGCATAGTTGAGTGTATGCACACTCATTTATACATAGCTACATGCTAACACAAGCCATACATTTTTACAGTGTACATATACATACACACAGACATGCATGCTCATAGGGCACTTCTCTCTCTTACCTCCATGGTACACACTCTTCTTGGGACAGGTGATCTCTGTTTGGTGCTGAGTGACCCAAACTTCATGCCACTGACCCCTGTTCTTGGCCATAGGGGTCAGCCTGGCCTTTGCCCTGCGCCCTTACCAGCTCACCTACCGCCAGATCAAGTACTTCTCTTTTCCCGGAGAGCTCCTCATGAGGATGCTGCAGATGCTGGTGCTGCCACTCATTGTCTCCAGCCTGGTCACAGGTAGGAAAGCCCAGAACAGTGTTGGCCTCCAAGAAGCACCTCTGAACCCATGCTCCAATCTGGGGCTAACGCAAAACACCAAACTCAGATCCTCAGCAAAATCTTTGAAGAAGTGAGGCAAGCACAGGGGGGCAGAGAGAGAAGCTGAGATGTGGATTCAGAAGAAAGCTGGCCTCCTAGCCTGGCCCCTGGACAGTGCTCTGGAGCATAAGCAGCACTACAGAGTCCATCCTCCCCCTCTCCCCATCCCCAGTCTCCTACTGAGTCAAAGGACATGGAATTTTGGATCCTTGTACTAGTCAGTCATTGGCCACAGATTTTTTTCCCCCATGGGGTAATTCTTCAGGAGAAGGGATTGCATGAGCTGTGAGCAGCCATTACAGTCAGCAGCTGAAGGCTAGGTGTGCGGCCTGGTGGAAGGTCTCTGGATGGGGCACTGAAGGTATCTACAGTGGCTAACGCACAGGGAGGGAGTTGCTATTTGGGAATGAGTAGGAGATAATGAATTGAATGAAAGTGAGGCAATGGTGCAAAATAGGGGTAAGTGGGGGATGGGGTGGGGTTTGAAATGTTGGCTTGGAGTAGACGGAAAGTTAGTGGAAAAGTGCCTGGGGGAAGTGTTGTTGCTATCCCACTGAGGGGCTCTGACCCCTACATTCACCCGAAGGTAGGAGACTCGAGCTGCAAGAAGGTGAAACAAGAGTCTGGAGTCCGGAGTCTGTTTATTATGAGGCCCCATGAGTCTATATAGGGTCTGACATGCTTCCTCCATGAAGAAAAACAAGAAGTGTACCTGACGTGGGGGTGGGGTGCATGTGTGTACAGGGCCTGGGGCTTCTTGCAGTTTCTGTTAAAAACAAGGCAGGGGACTGCAGCTGTTTGCATGACAGAGTGCACTGTGCTCTGCTGGCTTGTTTGCTGGCCTTACTGGGCAGTGTGCTCACCCATGCGCAACATCAGCCAGCGCGGACAGGTAACACTGGAGGTCCTGTCGAGTTAGCCACAGGGAAGGAGTGGGATGGGAAGTGCATATGGTAAATAAAATGGGGGTTAGAGAGTGATGATATGGCTGTGAACATTGTCTTTTATGGGGCCTGATGGGGTGCAGAAGAGGGAATATTTGGTGGAATGGTTATTGAGTCAGTGGTGTAAGGGAGGGTAGAGCAGATGGATGGGAGAGTGGGGGCTGCGGTATGGATGGGGCTGTCTTCCATAAGGAAGACGACTTGTCTTCCAGGTATGGCTTCCTTGGACAACAAGGCGACAGGGCGAATGGGGATGCGGGCAGCTGTATACTACATGGTGACCACAGTCATTGCTGTCTTCATTGGCATCCTAATGGTCACCATCATCCACCCTGGGAAAGGCTCCAAGGAGGGGCTGCATCGTGAGGGTCGGATCGAGACCATCCCCACAGCTGATGCCTTCATGGACCTGGTCAGGTAATATACTTTCTAATTTTGATGGGAGTTTTCACACTATATACAACAATGCTCCTTAAGGAGAGGCAAAGGGGACAGACTGACCTAGCGTGGAAATGACCGCATCCAAATTAGAGAATCAATTCCTGGTTCCTGTACTCTAGTAGCTAGTTTTATTGGGACCCTTTTTCTACTTGGAGTCTTGCACATGTCTTTGGAGAGCAGATGAGTCCTAGGATGCCATCTTTTGAGCTTTAGGCTGCTTAATGGAGGCTTTCATTGAAGCATCTTGGGATGGGCTGAGAACAGGTGATGTTTGAGTGGTGAATAATGCTCTTAGATCAGCAAGATTTTGCCAGCCATAGTCAAGGCTAGCTATATTTACACCCTACTCATCAACTTGTGGGGGGTAGGGAGTTGGCGGAGTTCAGGAGTTGTCTATGTCTTTTGAAGCACACAGGTGAATTAAGTTGACTAGAGTCCTTCCTCGGGGCTCAGACAACCTTCATGAGAGGTCCATTTACACCCCTTACTTAGCAGCTGTGTAGCTTTGGTTCATTTCCATAAATTCTCTGCACTTTGGTTTCTAAGTGTGTTAAATGGGAGACATTGACAGTACTCATTTTTATAGTTATTGCAGTGTTAAAATCAGAAACTACAGGTAAGGCATATCGCTCAGCCAGTCTAGAATGAGTGTTCCAGTGTTGACTGCTATTACTGTTGTTGTTATAATTATTGTTATTTTCACCTTGCCCTCCCTTCCAAGGTCTAACTGCTTTCCTTCATCTGATGTTTTTCTGCAGAAATATGTTTCCACCCAACCTCGTGGAAGCCTGCTTCAAACAGGTCAGAAGGGAGTAATATTGAATAGTTTCATCATGGAGGCTTGGAGGGTGGGGGAACTTGCTGCTGAGAGACTGGTCTAGAGGTGAGGGGTGGAAAGAAGGGCCCCACAGGGCATTAGGCTGGAGATTTTGGAAGAATCAGGGCGAAGGAATGTACATTTTTTGGTGGGAAAATCAAGGGAGGCTTAGAGAGAAGGACTTAGGAGAAGGGCTGCCTGGAGATCGTACTGGGAGAGGAACCAAGGTTTCTGACTAGAGATGGTGGAGGTGACACACCCTAAACTGTTTGCACATTACCCAGGAGTTTATACTCATTTTCCCATGCATTCGTTGTTCACACTCTCACATCCATCCACTCACTCGTTCTTTAATGCATTGGTCAAATCATTCATTCATTCTTTCATTCAGATACATAAGATAAATTTCTCCAGAGTATAGGAACCAGGAATTGATGCTCTAAAGAAATTTCTCCAGGGGATTCTGAGGCACCCACTGAATCAAATTTAGGTCCAATTTCTTCATATTTCAGTTTAAGACACAGTACAGCACAAGGTTGGTGACCAGGACCATTGTGAGGACAGAGAATGGATCAGAGCTGGGTGCCTCCATGACTCCTCCATCCTCGGGGGAAAATGGAACCAGCCTCCTGGAAAATGTCACACGAGCCTTGGGCAGCCTTCAAGAGGTGTTGAGTTTTGAGGAGACTGTGCCTGTGCCTGGCTCAGCCAATGGCATCAACGCCTTAGGCCTCGTGGTCTTCTCTGTGGCCTTTGGGCTGGTCATCGGAGGCATGAAACACAAGGGCCGAGTCCTGCGGGACTTCTTCGACAGCCTCAATGAGGCTATTATGAGGCTGGTGGGCATCATTATCTGGTGAGTGCTGAGCTCGGAGGGTGGGGGTGATGGTGTGAGGGAGGGATGGAACCAGGTCTGCAAAGTCAGTCTGTGGGTGGTTGCTGAATGGGTTGTTAGTTATTCATGTATGTCTTAATTAATTCACTCATTAATTCTTGCACTCTTTCATTCATTTGTACTTTTCTGTAATGATTTACACTCTATTCACTCTCACCATCTATTCACTATATCTATCTATTCATTCACTTACTTATTTGTCTCCATTCTTCCATGATATAGTCACTCACCCCCTCATTCACTCATTCTACTGATTGCCAAATCATCTACTCATTTGTTCCTTTATATTCATTCTTCCATGCATTATTTCACTCATTATGTCATTCATTCATTCTTCTTTGTTTTTAGAAATCCATTCATTAGTGCATTCATTCACTAAAATTAATTTACAAACTCATCCATGCTTTTTTCTTTCCCTCTTTCTTCCCTACCTTCTTCTTTCCTGCGTCATTTATTCATTGGAATTTACTCTTTGATACACATATTTATATATGCATTTGTTACTCTTTCAATCACTCAGTCCCTGTACTTATTCATATACTTATTTACCACACTTGTTTGTTTACTCACCTACTCATTCATGTCTCATTTGCTCATTTTATTCATCATTTATCCACTTTCTAATAATTCCTTAGTTGATGCACATGCTCTTTCATTCTTTATATACCTTTATTCCCTCAACAACTCCTTCTCTCAGTCAGAAGACACTTTTCCAGGCTTTGTTTTGAGTTCTGGTCTATAGGAATACTTTGAGTCAGTCTTTGACCCTAAATAGCTTGCAAAATCTGAGGACACAGACACAACTAGATAAATGTATAGCATGGTGGACTAAGGTTCTATAGTCGAGGGACACTTAAAAAGTGTTGAGAACATGGGAGAACAGTCAGTGGAGGAGTATGCAGTGAACTATGCCTGGGAAGGTGATGGGATCATCTCTTAGGTAGCTCTTGAAAGGTGAGTAGGAGCCCAACAGTAGAAGAAGAGGCAAGAGACACTTTACATACAGGGGAGAGAGCATGCAAGGCTGAAAAAGACCTGTGTTGCTTGGAGAAAGATCAGGAGCTCAGGACTGGGAGCATAGAATAAGCTGGAAGTAGTGGTGGAAGAGTTTAACAAGATTGTCTGATTCTATGGGGGAAGACTTTTATATCATCCCACATAACTTGCAAGTTGTGTAAAGGAGTAAAAGTCAAGTTGTGAGCTTGGAAGTGCAGTTGAGGGCAATGAGAGTGGGAGCTTATCTTGATAAACAAGAAGATTGGCAAGGAACATTGAAGGCTTAACTGAATTGGTGACAACACATTTATAGTGTTATTTGCATGGTTGGAATGATTAGAATATTCAGCTATGCCAGGTGGGTGAATACAGGAAGAAAGAAGTCATGAACAACTGATCCAGGGTTGAGGAATTTTGCAGAGGACAGAGCTATCACAGAAGCAGACCTAGACTTGGAGAAATCTCAGCAGCAACTCACCTGGGCTAACCCTGAGTCCAGCCTGTTAGCCTTAGGTCTTGTCATTTCTAACTCAAGCTGTAGTACCAACTTCCCAAGTAGTCCACACCTCTTCCAGTACTTCCACTATGAAGATGACCAACAGTGTGCTTAAATGTATAAAGAAAGGAATTACAATTAAAGTCTGATGGAGGGTGAATGATGGCACCAAGGGCAGAAGTTGTCTGGTTTGTTGGGGAGACTAGCTGAGCTCCCCAGTGAAACTAGCTGGTTCTTTCTCTTCTGCTCTCCTTTTCACTCATTGCTCTAGCAAAACTGGTCTCTGTTCCTTCAATATTTCTAGCTCACAGCACACTCAGGGTCTTGGCACTGTGCCTGCAGTGCTTCCCCTGCAGATGTACTCGGTGTATTATCGCTAGCAGGCCTCAGCTTACATATCAGCTCTTCCACAAACTCCTTTCCTGCTCACAATTAGGTAGTGACATTCAATGACTGTTTTGTAGTATAACAAAGTTGTAATTATGTGCAATTAGATGTACCATCTGCTTTGACATTAGAATGTAAGCACCATGGGGGCAGGGACTGTGCTCCTGGAACACAGTAGGTGATCAATAGCTATTGAGTGAGTGACTAAATAGATACTTTGATAAGATAGCTTGCAGATGTCCAGGGGAAATCCAGATGAAATAACTCATGGCAAATGAGTTAGAATTTGCTCTGACTGGAAGGACAGTGGGGCATACAAATGTAGACAAAAGAGCTGTGAGCAGCAAATAAGGGAAGTTAGAAAGTCAGAAACAGGAAGTATTTGAGCAACATCAAGGGAAAACATCCTGAAAATAGTGACTATTTGGGAGATAGGGCTTGATTGGGAGAGTGGGAGAAGGAGAGACTTGATAAAATTGTGTGCCCTGGAGTTGTAGGACCATTTTTGTGTTCTGGGGGTAAGCTCTGGATGAACAAGAAGAGGAGTTGGAATATATTTGTGCTGCCCAGCCCATTTGTCAATATGTGGGGAAGATTTGGGTGAAATTGAGTGGTGAGTGTGGTGGGCACTGCCAGGTTCCTGGGTCTTATATGGGCAGTGCCTTGAAGTTGCCAGCTTTCAGTTCATGGTAGTGGCCATGCGGGAGTCCTGATATGTGTCTGACTTGGCCCAGGTATGCGCCTGTGGGAATCCTATTCCTGATTGCTGGGAAGATCCTGGAGATGGAAGACATGGCTGTCCTTGGGGGTCAGCTGGGGATGTACACCTTGACTGTCATTGTGGGATTGTTCCTCCACGCTGGCGGTGTCCTGCCTCTCATCTACTTCCTCATCACTCACCGCAACCCTTTCCCCTTCATTGGGGGCATGCTGCAGGCTCTCATCACTGCCATGGGCACATCTTCCAGGTATGGCCTTGTCCTCCATCACTGGCACCCTTCAAAGATGACTCTGACTTTTACGGGCTCACCTGGGAGTCCTACCACCATGCCCCTCCACCCCAAGCCCAGAACTGTGTTAAAGTTGTACAGTGCTGTCAGGGCCTCCAGCAGGTCTCTAGGTGGCTCTGATCTGACTCCCTTTTCTCCTTTCTTCTTTCCCTATTTCATATGGAACCAACTGCTGATTTTGAGGTTAGGTGGTTTGAATCTAACCTGTCCCAGTTTTCCAGTCATCTTTTCTTGAGATGGTCTCTGGGAACTCTCTTGGCTTCTTTCTTGTTTGCAGTGGTTTATAAAGAGTTTCCTTTTCGTCATCATCCAGATTCAAGACAAACTGAAAAGTGCCACAAGAGTCAGCCAGATGAAGAGAACTAATTTTTATTGGCCATAGTGCTGATTGAGAATATGCTTTTTGATCTTTGACCAAGTAGGGCTGGTACTATGAAACTCAAAATTGAAGTTACTGCAGGACACCTAAAGGCCTTCTCTGTGGTTTAGACAACAGAAATGTTTTATGGACAGACTATCCTCAAATAAAATGTCCACTCCTTTGATTAAACTTAGCAATCAGTTAAGTGCCTTTTCCTCCCCTGGGAAGTGGTGTGGAGAGGTACTGAGAAGGTTAATATAGCTGAGATCATTTCCCAAAGCCAACATGGGGAGTGGAAAAGAGTCCTCACTTAGCCCTTAGGGGTGGGAAATCGCCAGAGACTTCGTCTTCTTCTTTCTGGGAATAGATTTTTAGAGTAAACTGGTTTCCTGAACTAGTGTCTAGTAATTTGCCTTAGCTAATGGTTTTAAGTGGGTCAAGAAACCTCCAGCCTGGGGAGCCCTCATTGCTCTCTGCTTCTCCATGCACAGTTAGCAGACTCTGAAATGGGATTCACCTGCCACCCTCCCTTTGTTCTGGCTCCCACCTCACTGCCCTCCTTAGCCACTGCTAATGTAGCACGGTTCTGCCAGCCTCTGTTCCCAGCTCTGGGTTTCTCTCCCCTAGCTCTGCAACACTGCCCATTACGTTCCGCTGTCTGGAAGAGGGCCTTGGTGTGGACCGCCGTATCACCAGGTTTGTTCTGCCTGTGGGGGCCACCGTCAACATGGATGGCACCGCCCTCTATGAGGCCTTGGCTGCCATCTTCATCGCTCAAGTCAACAACTATGAGCTCAACCTAGGCCAGATAACAACTATCAGGTGAGGTGGTCATGGGTGGTGAGACCTGAAAAGTTGTTTGTTTGGCTACCTGAGGGGGAGCTCCAGCTCCCGGTCAAGGGAGGTCTTGGGAAATGGAGGGGTCGTAGGGAGGATCCAACTACCTATCTGGATGAGGCCAAAGGTGGGAGTTTGCAGCCTCAGGCTGTCAGAAGTTGGCAGCATTTTCAGCCAGCCCACCCTTCACATGCTGTTGTGGGAAGCACTTTGCTAGTATTTTCCAAAGTATGACTGATGCATTTTAATAAGGTGTAGTTATTATTGTAAATATGGCTTCTTGACCTTATACTGAGAGGCTCCAATTTAATCATTATAAAAATAATAGCAACAAGGGCTCTTCCTGGTGGCACAATGGGTTAAAGCACTGCATTTTATGAAGCTCTCTGAAGCCACTGCAGCACGAGTTCCATCCCCGGCCAGGGAGCTGACCCACATATCATGGCAGATCTCTTCTGACCTGCCTGCTCGTCCCCTCAGCAGTGTAGTTTGTCAGTCTGCCTGTTCTGCTCCCTACTCTGTCTCTAGTGAATCTCTCAGCCACCACACCTCTGGCCTATACCCTAGTTCTGTAAGCATAAATAAATAAATCTTAAAAAAAAAAAAGAAAAGACAATAAACTCTTAAAAAAAATAGCAACATGATCATCTCCTTCTGGGCTTTGTGCCAATGTCATCGTTTCAGGGATGTGTACCTTCAGTTACCCTATAAGCACTTCTGGCTTTTATAGGCTAAACCATTTCCCCATTGCCTTAGTATATATTTTACTTACTTATCTTGCTTATTATCTTCTTTCCCTACTAGAATATAAGCTCCATTTGGGCAGGAGTTTTCTTCTATGGGAATTTCTATGAGGTACCTAACATGTAGTAGATGCTCAATAAATATGAGTTGAAAGAAAAAATTTATTGAAGTCTCTGTAAACTGTGTTGTGTAACATGCCTTTGTATTCATTCATTTGATATTCATGATAATCTCCAAGGTGGATAAAATGGCCAATATTGGTTTAGAGAGGAAGAAATTGGAATCCAAGGCAAATTAAGTTACTTGCCCAAGGTTACGATGGGAACAGTCAGTTGATTCCTGAACTAGTGCTGGTAATGACAGAGCATGAGAGGGAAGGGGAAGTGGATGATGAGTGGGAGGAAGGAACGTGTGTTCTAGGAAGCTGGCTTGGAAGTAGGGGTTTGTGTGGGCCGTGCTTGAGTTTCTCTACCCTGCCTTTCTCTGTTCACACTTTGCCTGTCCATGCTATCTTCGTGTTGGCATCAAGTCTCTGGAACTCATGGGACCAGCTTCTCCAATGCTTCTGAAAGGCCTCACCAGTATTGGTTGTTGGGGAATAACTTTTTGTTCAGATTATATTGACTAAATTTCAGGTGCTGGAAATACGACTTTGAGTCACACATTCACAGTGATGCATTGGTGTCTTTGGAAACCAGGTGGCATAGCAGAGCCACAGGCCTGGGGAGGTGTCATGGAGGTTTTCCTCAGAGTCCTTTATATAAGGACTCTGCATAGTCTTCTGGGATGTGCTGAACACCAGTCCAAGCCTCTGCTTTTGTGCAGCGATTTGTTGGAAGAAGACACAGTATCACTCCTGATGATAGAGGCTTAGGAGCCAGTTTCTTGACTTGTTTCCATTTCTTTAGAAAAAGCAAGCTTGGAAAGGTTTGCAGTAATTTTGTGGGTGTTGATCTATCTTTGTTCCTTCCTTCCTTGCTCAAATGTTGACCTGGTGTCTACATATAAGCATTAGGCTTGGTGCATGGAGTACCTAAAGATGTGGAGAGCATGAACTCTGTTCAGGGGACACCGTGAGTGAACTAAATATTTCCACAGAGCCTGCAAAGTGCTGTGTTGGGCAAGCTAAGAGCTATGGGTGAGGACACCTGGTCCAGCCCTGAGAAACAGTGGTGACTGAAACCTTCATGGACAGGTAACATATGAACTGAACATGGACAGAGAACTAGTTGCTGACCAGGTGGAAAGGAAGGTGGTGGTTTAGTAGTGGTTCTTAAAGTGAACCACCAGTAGCATCATCACATTGGAAATTTTGGGAACGCAGATGCCACGGTAGTTCTACTGAATCAGAATCTTTGGGCTTGAGCCCTGCCATCTGTGTTTCCACCTACTCACTAAATGATTCTTATGCACAATCAAGTTTGAGAAGCACTGCCTTAACGGGACTGAGAGGAGCTAGCTCATTAAGGATAAAGCTTAAAGGACATGTCGGGGGGAGGTGGAGAGTAGAAGGAAATGAGGCTGAAAGGTGAGTAGGGGTCAAACTCAGGAATACCCTGGGGTCAAGAGTTTTAACTTACTAGCAAACATTCCAAAAACATGTGTTGAATGTTTTATGTATTATAAGTTCTTTAGGTTCCATGCCAGGGAAATATAACACAGTTCTTGACCACATGAAATGGTGGTGTGGTAGTGACGATGATGTTAGTGATGTGATGATGTTGGCTGATGGTGCTAATGGTGAAAGTGGTGATGATGGCCAGCATTTATAAAGCACTTGCTATGTGCCAGACATAACATTAAGTATTTGCAAGCATGAGCTCCTTGAATAATGAGCTATGTTACATAATGTCCTATGCATAGTCCTATCATTGCCTTTGCCTGCTTAGTGTGATAGTATTAGAGCTGTGAGAATCCAGAGAAGGGGTATCTGGCTTAGCTGGGGTTGTGTAGTTGGGGTTGTGTAGTTTTCATTTTGTTAGCCTCCCCGTGGATCATTTTGGCATTTCAGTCAGGTGACCTTTCCATCATCTTTTCAAAGTTCCCTAGTTTGTGCAACTTCAGTCATCTACTTTTGGGGCCAGGCCTCGGACTTGGCCTCACATCATTGTGCTGTGACATCTGTAGTATATGCATCATACCCCATCTCCAGTCTCTCCATTCATTCTCCTTTGCTGCCTCTAATGTTTTCTTTAATTGCATATGAACTTTTGCTTCCTTATGATTTTATTTTACTCCCTATGTAACTTAGTCCAGTGTTTTTCAAACTTTTATCTGTATGTTAATCATCTGGGGATCTTGTTCAAAGGCAGATTCTGGTTCAGTGGTTATGGTTCTTCATTTCTAACAAGTTTTCAGGTTGTGCTGCTGCTGCTTTGGGACCATGCTGGGAGTTGGGATCTTCTCCCCCAGAGTGTGGCATGTGTCATTCTCTGACTTTCTGAAAGGTGTCTGTGACATCTTTACCACAGTCTTTCTGTACAACTGCTCTCCAAGTCCTTAACATCAGGGAACTCAACCATCCTCTTTTTCTGCTCATATGCCAAAGTGTCTGAGCCCAACTAGAGAAACCTTTACTCAGTGAGGAGCTTATCGCTATAATCAGATGACATATTACATTCTCGTTTCTCTAAGAAGTGATTGTGAACATTTTCTCATAGGTCTGCCGAACATTTTAGTATGTTCATTGAAGAAGCATCTGCTTCATTCTTTTGCCCATTTTTTTTTTTGATTGAGTTGTTTGTTTTGTTTTTATAGAGTTTTAGAAGTTCTTTGTATGTCTTTGGTGTCAGTCCTTTGTCAGATGTATTGTGCACAAATACTTTTTCCCATTCCACAGGGAGAAACACCACTTTTTTTGTTTGTCTAGGGTAGTATGCAAATAGTGATTACCTCTCCTGGGAAACATTGACATCCCTGAGAGTAGGGATATCATCTAGATAGGTAAGATGGGAGATTTTTGAGGGATATTCTTAAATGGACCGAAGAACTAATCAACACTTCCAGCTTATCCCTGGCAACCAATGGGGAGAGTTTAATCATGGCCTGGTATCAAGTCACTAGATAGTGCTTCAGAATTTAACAGCAGAAAATGGATTACCAGGGTCCCCAAGTATGAGGTGTCTTTCTGGACCCAGATGGAATGGATCCATCACAAGCACGCTGCCTGCCCTCCAAGTGCACACACAGATTGCTGTTTATGTCAGGGCTTGTGTTTGGAGGAGTTTCTCTCACTTAGGACAATGGTGATAATGACCCTCCTTGAGGTCCCGTTCTAAGTACTGTGCTCTTCTACTGCTCACCATTAGCTCCTCAATATGTTTCCTTTCCTACAGATGAAGAAATGGTGGTTTTGAGTTTACAAATTCAAGGAGATGTAGTTGATGAATGGGAGTTGGCTGGGCCCCAAAGTTTATTCTTTGCCCACCAGCCCAAGTGTTTACTCAATCACTGTTAGGATAAGAGCTACCATGTAGGCAAAGCATCCCAAGTAGCTCCAAGTAGTGGTTCACAGTTATAGAAAATGGGAAGGGACTTCAGTGGCCACATCAGGGCACTGAAACCTTGGTAAAATCAGCGACTTTAGTGTTTTTGCACCATGCCAGATAATCAGAGCTAATGCAGGAGCTAAGATTTGACCCTCTACTTAATGGTGGATCACAGTCTCTTTCATCTCCCATGTGTTCCACCTTTCAGTTTTCCAAAACTCTTTCTCTCTCTCCCTTCCCCCTCCAAATAAATATTTATATAATTTGTTCAGCATCATACATAATTTCTTTTTTTGGCCCTAAACTTGAATTACCTTCTAGAATTCCACACCCAGCAGCTGGCCCTAGTAGTACTTATTTCTCTACTACTTCTAGTACCTGTGCACAGAAGTAATTCAGTCTCGTGGTTCACATCTGCTGCCCAGATTGATTTTTCCATCCTTTTCCAGACCCCACAGACAGCTGGTTAACTGTCTACTCTTACACCTACATTGAGTTGTTTAAAAATGTGAACACCCATGGTTGGACAAACTTCCAATCTGATCCCAGCAGAGGAAGAGCATGTGAACTTCTACTCAATGAAAGTCACTTTGGATTGCTTTTTACATTCTGAATTTGATGTGATGCCCTGGTAGAATAGACCCCTTCTCTTCTACCAGTAAAAGGTGTGTCCTTTCTCACTCTTTTCCTTATTTCTTCCTTCCCTCCTTTTGCTTCCCCATGTTCTGTCTCCTTTTGCAGTATCACAGCAACGGCAGCCAGCGTTGGGGCTGCTGGCATACCCCAGGCGGGGCTGGTCACCATGGTCATTGTGCTTACCTCGGTTGGCCTGCCCACTGAGGACATCACGCTGATCATCGCTGTGGACTGGTTTCTGTGAGTGTCTTGGGGCGAGGCCTAGTGCTGTCCTCCCGTCACCTCCTGCAGTACCCCTGACCCATGGGCTTTCATCCCAGCAGAATTTTAGAGTAACAATTCTAAACACTCCCTAAAGTTTATTCTTTTAGAGAGAATCCAAATGCAAGCCATGGCCCGAGGGCCCCAAATTTCATATCTAATCTTGGGAAGTAGGGCATAGAGAAGACAAGCCCATTGCCCTGAAAAACTGCCATTTACCTGTTTCATGTAGACATCACAAAAAGGTGGTTTGTGGGACAGGACTGACTTAAAATTACTTTTAAAAAAAATTCTCAACTTCTAAAAAAAGAAGTTTACATAAATAATAAAAAAAAAAACCCTATACCCCCTTCCCACCTGGGAGCAGTTAATTGAAACTGAACCTATTTGGGAGGTTTCCAGCCTGGCCAGATTTACTCATGGTAGCTACATTTCTCATCCTATATGCTATTCAGCTCATTATCCCTACCCCTAGTTGTTGATATCTTAAAAAAAAATAACCAGCAGCTGTATTGTTAAGATCAAATATGAGCATATCACAGTGTTCCAATCTGCACTGTTAGGAGTGTAAACCCTGGACAAGGAGGAGGAGGGGCCTACCCAAGACTATTTGGTTATGGGTTGGACTGAGAGGAAACTGAAGACAGAGAAGGAGCAGGACCTGCCTGGGGTTAGGTGGTTGTGGATTGGACTGGAACATGAGCTCCATCTTCCAGGTACAGGGACTCCCATGTTACAGCCTCTTCGTGATCGGACTTTTCAAGCCCTGTTTAACAGCATCTTCTTTCTCCTCTCCTCTCCATCAGTGACCGACTTCGCACGATGACCAATGTTCTGGGGGACTCTATTGGAGCAGCTGTCATTGAGCATTTGTCTCAGCGGGAGCTGGAGCTGCAGGAAGCAGAGCTTACCCTCCCCAGCCTGGGGAAGCCCTACAAATCGCTCATGGCCCAAGAGAAGGGGGCCTCCAGGGGACGGGGAGGCAATGAGAGTGCTATGTGAGGGATCCTCAACTTTGATGCTCAGAGAGAAGGGAAGGGTGCCAAAAAGAGGGAGGTCCTGGGAAGACCAGTGCCAAATGTCTGTGCACTGAACACACATGTTCTATCTGGGGGAAACTGAGATAAAGGAGCAGGAGGGAAAGGTGTCTAGGTCTCCATTTTTCTCTGAGCATAAGCTGAGAAGTTGGTGGTTGGTGAGCAAGGTAAGGGAGGAAATGCTTCCTGTGGGTGTGGGGCAAGGGAAGCTCAGGTTTAACAACATGAAGGGTCAACTCATGTTTCTTATTTTCTTAAGGAACTGAAGAAAGTAAAGGAAAACCACTATTTCTCATAATAAAATGGTATCTATGGCCTCTGTGTTGGGGGCTCCCAAGACCACCTTCAGGTCCCATGATTGATGAGCAGGAATCACAGAACTCAAAAACCTGTGATGCACATGTTTATGGTTTATTGCAGCAAAAAGACACATTAAAGTCAGCAAAGGCAAAATATTCATGGGGAAGGGTCCAGGAGATACCAGGCATGAGTTTCCAATTGTTCTCTCTCTGGGAAAGTTCATGGATAGCATTTATCCCACCAACCATGTGTGACGACAACACTTCTGAAATAGTGCCACCAGGAAGCTCACCTGATCCTTGGGGATCTGTCATATAAACAGATTCTGCTGATTATTACTACTCATTGTTCAGTTCCTTCAGTGGTCAAACTAACAGATTGCCTAGGGACCCAGCTAAACAAAAATGCATTAGCAAAAAAATCATAAATCACACTGTCAGTGTAGACTATTTGGCATGGTTCAGTGTTCCAGGTATGTAAAGACACTTACCAGATAGGATACTCCAAGGGCTCAGAGATCATTTCCTTGGGTCCAGTCAGGAGTGAGTCCTTTCTTTGAGATGTGTAGGCTTTGAGCCCTTAACAATCTTTATTAGCCTTTTACTTCACACACCCTGCGTTTGGGAATAGAGTAAGTAGTTTCCCATGGTGATGAGTAAATAGGTCTTTTAACCCAAACTCTTGACTCCTGTGACTGGGTGTTTCACACCCCCAAGCTGATCTGAAAGGATTCTCATTTCTAAACCACACAACAAGGAATGTTAATCTCTTAGCATTATTTTTCCTGGAACCTAATGAACTATGCAGTACATTAAATGAAGATTTGGGGAAAACACATGTTGTGTGAATAGAGAGTAACATGCTTCTAGCTGTCATGGGTTTAACTCAAACTTTTTGTCCAGGAAACATGACATTGATTCTTTTCTAAATCAAATTAAGCTTCATTTGGCCACTTGCCTCACCCAAAGAGAGAAATTTAATCACAAATATGTTTTGCGATGACTTACTGGCATTCTTTAGGATCCCAGGAGAACCCTTGGGGTTAAGCAATTGAGAAAACTTGGAAAAAGTGTTCCAGAATTCTTTTATCTATTTGTGGACATATTTTTTCCCCAAGACTGAATTGTTCATGCAAAGACAATAGGTTCCAGTACTTATAAAACATGCTACTATACAGTTGACCATGGGGACTTTGCCTCATGTCAGTCTCAAGCCAGAATTTTAGCTTTTGGCTCCACCCTACCCCACCTTATTGTCAGTGGTCTGTGTCCCCAAGGGGCTCATCTATGGGAGCATGGTGGATAGGTTGCTAGGGTTGCCATAACAGGGTACCACAAAGTGGAGTTGCTTACACAACAGAAATTTATTCTACCCTAGTCTTGGGAGCTGGAGTCAGAGATTAAGATGTTCATAGGGCTGGTATCCTCAGAGGCCTCTCTTGTTAGCTTGTATATGCCATCTTCTCCCTGTGTTCTCATATGGTCTTCCTCTGTGTGTGCGGGCCCTGGTCTTCTCATAAGGACACCAGTAGGATTGGATTAGGGCCCACTGGGACAATTTCATTTTAAATCAATTGTATCTTTAAACACCCTATTTATAAATACAATGACATTCTGAGCTATTGAAAATTAGGATTTCAGCATGCATTTTGGACATATCAGTCCGTGAGATGGCATGATTTGCAATGTCAAGGGAGTTATAACCTGTGTCCTCCCAGTCTTGGAACCTCCCCCATCTTTATTTGTAAATGTGAGTTTTCAAGAATAAAATCTTTTATCATCTGGGGCATGGGAAACAGCACATCTTGGGGGAGGGATTGTGGTTTGAAATAGATAATCTTTACATTCTGTTGAGTCCTCTGTGGCTGCCAGAGCAAGACAAATGAATTTATCTCTAATCACCCAAGTAATCTGTTGTAAAAGAATGTGGCTTGCTTTCTGGATTTGTTCTGAAAAGGTAAGATGGGTGCACAGTGGGGTGGCCAAGAACAGGTGGGAAACTGCGAGCAAGAGATGCATGGGGATGGAATAAAGCTGGTGTCCACTGGGTTGCCTTTGACCTCAGTAATAGAGTGTCCTGCAGTGGTCAGAGCCCCTGTCATGGATGTCAGTACACATCCCTGATCCAGGAGGCAAGGAGACTGAAAGAGGATCTAGGGGAAACATAGAGCATTTCAGGGTTAGTTCCTGCTTCATGCTAATGATGTAAATCAGTAGATCCTCTCTGTGTGCTACAAAACAGCAGCTGTTTCTGGTAACCCTCCATATATTCAAGAAGTGTCCTCATGACCTCTATTAGGTTCTTGTGACTTCTGTAACACTTTGCCACAACCTAGGTGGCTTAAAACAACAGAAATTATCTGATAGTTCTGGAGGCCAGAAGCCCAAAATCCATGTGTTAATGGGATCACACTACCTCCCTATGGACGAGGACTCCAGGTTTCCACAGCATGGGGCTGCAGCACTCCTATCTGCATCCACCTTACAGAATCTTCTCTTCTTGGCATCTTCTCCTCTTCTGTATGTTGTAAGGACACCTGTCATTGGATTTAGGGCCAACCCGTGCAAACTGTAATGATCTCATCTCAAGATCCATAACTCAGTTAACTGTGAAAATAAGGTCACATTCACATGTTCCAGGAGGCATATCTTTTTGAGAACTGACAAGCCACAATATAATTTAGGAGATATAGCCCAGTATACAAGCAAAATGAAGACTTCAGTGGTCACAGGAAGTGGACACATGAGTCAGGCAAAAGCAGACACAAAGGGTGCATTTACCAAGCCAGTTACTAGCATGGTCACATGGTGCTTCTGCTGAGGAAGGCAGTGTAATATGTAAGCCTCAGAGTTATCTCAGCCCTCTTATTCATCTTCTGTTAAGGAGTGATTCCCGGGCATTAATTCTTTCTGCACATCATCAGAGCAGACTTCAGCAACAGGGGATTTCCTCAGGCAAAGAGATGATACAAAAAATAGAAGCCAGACAGGATGCATTGAAATGGTAAATGGTGGTGAGGTGTCTTCTACGTCAGGAGTCTGTATCCCGGGGATTCTGCCCTGCCTTCTAAGGGCAGAAACCATTTTGTGACCACGGGTGTGAGAACCATATCCTAAGGGTGGTAGACCAGAAAAGTGGAAGCATCCTGAGCTCATGTTTCAAAAGGAAACAAGAGCATCTTTGATTAAGCCATTGTGCATTTGATCTCACTACTTTTAGCCAATTTCAATTTTTAACTGGTATAGAAGAAATTTTCCAGCAATATCTGTTGGTCTTGATGGGACAAACTTGAAGGGGATTACATGAAAGACTGCATGATCTCTGATATTGCTTTCTTCAGTGATGTTCTCTATCTGTCCTATCCTATATGGTGGCCACTAGTTACACATAGCTTACTGGGTACTTGATATATGCATAGAATGATTTAGGAACTGAACTTTTTTTTTT